AACTTTTTTGGGGGGCAAAGAAAAAGCAAGAAGGTTTTGGAACCGGAGAATGAACGTTTTGCGTTTGATGCGGCGCTTTGATTGTTTTGCCACGAGTTCCCAGCATGCAATGCGCGAAAGTCACATGGTCTGTCAATCTCTACTGTGACCGCTTCTGGGCTTGAAGACCTGCCCGAGGCCATCACGGCGTTTTCAGGTAAACGGTTTATAAACAGTTGTTGTTTGCAGTTATGACATCATGCTGGCGTGCGACACACTCAGGTCTGACGCTCGTGTTGAAGAAACACGAGGCTGAACACGAGGCGGGGCAAATACAAAGAAGAGTTAGAGGTTAAACAATCCGGTCACGCCTGTGGGACCGCAGACTGTCTCACCTGTAGAGGGGGGCGTGGCCTTTGTTGTTAGCCAGTGAGAAGAAGCCGCTGTGCGGGGAGAAGTCGAGGCAGCTGGCTCGATAAACGATCTTCCTCTTGGCGACGGGGAAGTTGGAGAAGACGGTGAGGCTGGGCAGGTGCACCTGAGGACAGACGTAAACTGTTAATGCTCTTCATCATCGCCATCATCATCATCATCACCGCCGTCTCTCACCAGCCGCACAGCCTCATCCTCTGCGCGCGACGCAATGGCCAGGATCTCCGATGTGGGGTTAAAGGTCAGGGCGGTCGCTGAGGTCAGCAGGTTCATCACTGCCTTCAGAGGCTTCGGATTGGCTGAATTAAGACACGCCTCCTGAGAGTAGACGTTGACCACACCGGACTGAGAGCTGAAAAAAAGAGGAGCTCAGCACTGAGCGGCTTTAACCTTAACTAACACACAGCTCTCGGCCAATCAGAGAGCAGCATGGTTATGAGGGCGTGTCTTACCCACAGGCCAGGTACTGCCCGTTTTGAGAAGAGGCGATGGAAGTTCCCCTCACGCAGCCGTCGTCCGTAAACCTGTTCACACACCGACTGCTGCGCATGTCCCACACATACACCTCCCCATCCTCTGCACACGCACACACACACGCACGCACACATTAATCACATGACAAGAGCAGGAACGCACACGCCCACCTTTCCTCGACTCACCTGAGTTTGCAAAGACTTTGCTGCCATCAGGAGAGAACGCGACGCCGCTGACATCACCGTTTATCTTCATACTGCGAACCACCTCCTTCGTCTGCACACACACAGATTTTTCTAACATTAGAGTTTCATCAGTTCACCTGTCCATGCTTCTGATTGGTCACATTGCAAGCTCCGCCTCTGTCAGAGCTACACTGTAGCTATGTCCCAATCCAGCGACCGCACACTTCGTAGTGCGCATTTGTAGACCGATTACGTCACAGCAACACGACGAACTGTCCCAATCTACAGTGTTCTCAAATTTGAAGCGTGGTCCGGTGCACGCTTCGTGGTCCCATATATCCCACAATTCATAGCGCGGGGATGGGTGTGGAGAATTTGTTCAGGAAAAAAGGTGGATGG